CGGATTAGATGGGGGTCCCAAGTTAGCAATTAGACCGCTATTAAGACTCGGCCCGATTATCTGGCACGCATGATATTGCATGCCATACGAAGGGGAAGGTTTCCCCCGTCGCATGAGCCAGCCAACAGCTAGTCCTTCTTCCGAAGGGCGATAAGCACCTACTGACCGCCCAGCCTATCGGCCAATATGCTTACTGGACCACAGCAGACGCGAGAATTTGAGGCGGGATTATCTGCAATCGAACATTGAGTCATTTACCAGAGGAAGGCCTCAAGGATTGTGTGATAATCAGTACGGCGTTAGAAACAGCGAGATGTCCACGGTAGATGCTATTAGGCCAAGTCATCCGACATCGCCCACGCAAAGGCCATAAGGCCAAACCGATGGAAAGGCGGTCCTATTAAGTATTGTGCTATAGTGACCCTAGGACGTGAAAAACCGCCCTTTAACCACTGCAAGGTTTGGAGCTCCATTCTTCTGCGCTACAGAACCCTCTTGACGTTCCAATGGGTGATCAGTCGTCTGTAACCTTTGGTAAAAGTACCTTTAAGGAGAGAGTCCTCCTATATGAAACCTGTGTCTGGAATACAATCTTTATACGTAAACACCAGGTTGTGGTGCCCACAAGGTCGGTACTTAGGTCCGATGGTGTGGGAACATTATGTATGACGCCGTGTTTGAAGCTCGAGTTTAGCCGGAAGGGCGCAAGAACGATTGGATTCGCTGACGGATGTTGCAATTGTCGTTCATGTTGTCGGGCAAATACCATCGGAGCCAGTCACGCCAGGTTGCCAACGAGGCTGTGGCGGTCAGATCCGGCGGCTGGCTTACCGTCGGTAGGGCTACAGCATGCGCCGCCCATAAAACAAGAGGCTGTGCTGGTAGACGGGCAGGAAAAGTGAGAGGAGTATTACTCTTATGTAGGAGTATGTCTGCCAAAATATCCTCGCAGCATGTCACTGAGGTATTTGGGAGTGCATATGGAACGCGAGACTGCCTTTGACGAGCACCTGCGCCCCAAATGAGTCTCGAGAAAGCCATCTCGCGCATCCGCATTAGCACCCGCATTATGCCTAAATGTAGGGGGTCCTGCGGCAAAGAAGCCGGAGGCTGCTGACAGACGTAGTAAATTCCAATTCTACTCTACGCAGCCCCTGTTTGGGCTGATTGCCCGATGGGCATTCAGTCATACGCCCGTGGGGCTAAGTCGCGTGCATATAAGTGTGGCTGTGCGCGTGCGCTTTGCGGGTTAGTTCGAGCGGTTCGCACCGCATCCTATGATGGCTGTGTGTGTGTTAGCAGATATGCCTCGCGTAGTGCGACGCGTCATGCGCAGACAGACTGTATTGTGCGCAAGCGGGAGGCAGGGCCTCAAACTGGAATATCATTACGACAAGAAGCAGAGAGGCGTGACCCAATGGACCAATGACAACGCCGATGGGAGCAATCATCAACTGCGGCGATGACATGTCGGGTCATTCCCGACATCATTGACGTGATTCAAAGGGAACATGGAGAATTAGATTTTTATCTAACTCAGATTGCACTGACAGGGCATGGATGTTACCAGGCAGTAATCAGCTCCGCAAAAAACACCGGCTGGACGATAGCTCATCATGCCCAAGGTGTTTCCCGGTGATGAAGATTGTAGCAACAACGTGTTCTTTCATGTCCACCGCTTCCCACAGGTGGGAAAGGGAAGAACTTCACAGACTCCTCCAAAGGGAAGTGACCCCTGAGACCATCGTCACATAGGATTGCTGCTGACCACAAGGAGAATGGCACGTGCGGTAAGCCCACCTATGGCCGCAAAGGTCCTAAGACGCTCCCGCCTCCGAGAGCAGTTACGAAGAAAAAGACTCCCCTAAAATTTGGTACGTGCGAAAAGCCCATCCTTCCTTCTCGCGAATGCAATGCCTGACCGGCGGTTCCGCGGGAAGGAATAGCGAGGAAAGGGAGCGGTTTTTAGGTGGTAGGCATAGAGCCTAGCTATGAATCCCCAACACGCAGCGGGTTGCGGGCCCCGCTGTGTCTTTAGAAGATTTTCCCCTGCCCACGTAAAACACACACGCACACACACGCGCGCGCACACACACACACACACACACACTCACACTCACACACACACACACACGATATACGGTTTATACGCTCTGATTTCACGATAAATAACGGCAGAGATTTTCTTTTAAAGAACAGTCCATTCAGATCAATCCTAGGGCCCATACAATTTCTATTAGACATCAATGACATGGCCCTGTACCTACAAAAGAGCAAAATGGTCCTATTTGCAGATGTCACAAACATTATTATTAAAGCAAATACCCAACAAACTCTACAAAAAGAAGCACAAACAGTCCTGGAGGCACTAGTAAAATGGGTCCAGAAAAGTAAATTCGTCATAAACACCAGTAAAACTGTCTAAACTTTCGGAATCCACTCTCTTTGTGCCTCCAGCACAAATTATTAAAAATACTTCTGTAAAAATAGCCCAAAAACAACTTTCTTTGGAGATTCAAGATGATCTGAAATGGAACTCTCGTATCACAGATTTAAACAAAAAGCTTACCAAGTCATGTTATACTACATACATCCTGAGGTCATATTCTAACTTAGATATACTACGAATGGTGTACTTTGCAAATGTTAATTCACACCTAAAATACGGAACAATATTCTGGGGAAATTCCCCAGAAAGTATTCACTCTTTCATCATCCAAAAATGAATATTGAGAACAATGACAAACACTCACAAACATGAGTTCTGCAAACCACTGTTCAAAAAATTACAAATACTACTACTCCCATGCATGTACATATTGGAAATATTAATTTTTACAAAGAAGATTCTTATAGGAAATCTGACTATGATACTAGACAAAAAAGAAATCTGCGTGTTCCGCACAGTGAAACTTTACTCTTTCAAAAAAGTATCCTTATAGAAGGCATTATACTATATAATAAACTTCCTAGTGAATTTAAGAGGTTAAACTTGATACTCACATTCAAAAATAAACTGAAAGCTTTCCTGTTAAACCACACATTCTACAGTACAAAAGAATATATGCATCATGAACACGTATCTACATCAATATAAACTAGTACTAATGTTTGCATTTTCTATTACATATTTGCAAACCCTCCAAGACTGGTTGTTGGATATAAAGAAAAGACCAGCCTAGGCACGAATCAATGAAGAATTTCTTTTTTTATTATTATTGATTTTTAACTTAAGTCTTCTTACACTACCATGTATAAAATTAATTAGCTTTCCGTGATATTGTATTTAATATGAGACATATTTTAAATTTAATTTATGTCTTGTATTTAATTTTTAGAAATATCTGCATTGTGTATTGAATGATTATATACATATCCTGACTTGTCACACATGGCATATGCTGTATGTATGTAACAAA